CCCGCCGAGCTGCGCCCCGGGAACTTGCCCGGCCCCGGGCCCATCGTGATGCGAGGCGCTGGGGAAAGGCCGGGCCACACAGACTCAGCCTCTGTCGCGGTTTATTCATCAAAGTGCAGGCGTTCAAAGCCTCCTTTCCGCGCTCACAGGCGCTGAGGCGGCTTGGAAGGAAAAGGGGGGGGGGGCTCCCGGTCCCGGCAGCAGGGAGCCCGGCTGAGGTCGAGACCCTTCCCGGCCCTCATCTCCGCTCACCAAACCGAATACCAAGGTGCCAAGGAGCGCAGTCCCTTCCCTCGCAGCGAGGCCGGAGCGATAACCAGGCTATACAGCAGCGAAAGCGGGATTCAGACCCGAGCTCCACTCCCCAGGCCCCCTGGGCTCAGCCCCATCCCCAAAACCAGAGCCCTGCAGCGGCAGGCCAGGCCCCAGGAGGCTTCCGGTGCCGGCGAAGTGAAGCCCGGGCCCTGGGCTTGAGGATGAGGCGGCCTGCAAAACAGCTTGGGGATCAGGATGCGCGCAGGTTGCTGTCTCTGCTTGGTTTTGAGGCCCTTCATCCATTCCTGTCACTTCCCTCCAGAGCCACGGAGATCGCGGTCCAACCTAAGGCGGGTTAGGGAACAGAAGTCGTTTGGGGCGGCACAGATGTACATGAGCTAGAAGATGGGGTGCTCCACTTGGCATTTAGGATCCTTTGCTCCCTAACACCCTCTTCCCCAGTGGCTATGACCTAGCAACAGATCCCTTCTGAATTCCTAGGGCGACTCTAGGTTTCCTTTCATCTCTAGGCTGTGATTATTCCTCAGCCTCTGCACTTGTATGCACACGTGTTCTCCTTTGTTTCTGTGCCTCACATCTCCCGGAGAATGCAGTTTTCACAGCTACTCTGAAGAGGGCTCAGAGCAGAACCCCCACTTTGCAGCACCCTGTGTCTCCCCCCAGCAATTGAGGGGTGAGGACTGGTTTACTCTTCCCGGCCCCAAACCTTCATCCTTCCTGCAGGACTCACTGTCTGACAGCTTCGGGGATGTGAAGTTGGTCTAGGGAGATGAGCTGGCCTAACTCCCCCAGGCTGTTCAAAAACCGGACCTTCCGTGTGAACTTGGAACTGCAAAGAAATAATAAACCAAATTGTTTAATTCTAGGAGGGTCGTTCCTGGGGACATTTACAGAGGGAAATGTAGCAAGTAGAGTGTTTAAGGCTAGTCCCAGTACTGGGAGTGAACCCACGGCCTTTGCACTGAGCTATAACCCCAACCCTTTTTAAAAATTTTTTTTTTTTTAGATAAGGTCTCACTAAATTGCCCAGGCTGGGATTGAATTTGAGATCCTCCTGCCTCAGCTTCCCAGAGTACTGAAATTACAAATGTGGGCTACCCAGATAAAAATCTTAATCAAGATTAAGATTTTTATTTTATGTACAGATTCCTTGTTTAATGACTATTTGGACTGACAACTTGCTGCTGGAATTTATAACTTGGCTTTTTTTTCTTTTTCTGGTACCGGGGATCAAACTTGGGTCCTTGTGCTTGCGAGGCAGGTGGCAGAACTACTGAGCTAAATCCCCAGCCCTCATCTTTTTTTCTTGTACAGTTCTGTACATCTTATTTATAGAGCCTCAAAGTCTTATTTATTTATTTGTTTATTTTTGAGACAGGGTCTTGCTATGTAGTTCAGGCTGAATTTGAACTCACTATAGAGCCCAGGCTGGCCTCGAAATCCCAGTGATCCTCCTGCCTCAGCCTCTCAAATGCTGGGATTGTAGGTGTGTGCCACCACACCTGGCCCTCAATGTCTTTTTTTTTTTGGTATAGTACAGTTTGTTTATATAGTACTATAATTTTTGCAGGTTGTACATACCATATAGTATTGTAGTTTTATGTTATCTATTACAGTACTGCATGTAAGAGTTATGCAAATAAAAGCAAAGTCATCAAGTTAGTGTCTCCTTTGAACACATCTGGGTATCGTAATGTACGTATTATCTACAATTCCTCATTTGGTGACCCACTCATTCCTCACTAAATGAATGTCTGTAGTTCAGGCTGGCCTTGGACTTGCGGGGAATCTCCTGCCTCAGCATACTGAGGGTTACAGGCTTGTGCCACCATGGCCAGCTTAATCTTCATTTTGAAAATGAGGCACAGTCCTGCTTCAGTCCCAGGTTGGGAACGCTTGCAGGCACTCGGGTCAGGACATGCACAGGGCCGTACTCAGGATGTCTGCTGCAGACCAGCAGGGCGACTCTCCTCAGCTTTCTGACTGCTGATGAGGCTAAGGTGAGGGAAATCCATTTGATGATTACTAATAAGTTTGTATAAATGAAGAGTAAAGGAAAAACGTTGCTGAGTGCACTGGTGCACGCCTCTAATCCCAGCACCGGGGAGGCTGAGGCAGGGGCACAGCCTGGGCTACATATTGAGTTCAAGGCCAGCCTGAACTACAAAGCAAGACACTGTCTTTAAAAAAAAGAAAGAAAAAAGAATGAAGGAAAGGAAGTTTTGTCTCAAGAGCCAATACCTGATGAAAGGCCGAAGCAATGCCAGAAACGCCTTCACATACCATGTAGCATGAACAACCAACAGGGCTCGCAGGTTTTTCCGGAGCCTGCAGAAGAATATGATGAGATCATTCTGTCCCCGGGCTGCCTTCGTGCCTGCAGATCAGGCGGAGCCACTGTCTACTGCAGTGGCCCTGGCTTCTCTAATGGCCAGATTCCTCCGCCAGTTACCAGATTCAACCCCCATTCCTCTGAGAAGCTGGAATCTTGGCTCTGCCCATCTCAGTCAGCCTGCCATGCTCCTCGCTTTAAGGAAACTCTCCTTTCAGGCTCCTATGTTTGGCATTGGCTTCTATTTTATTTATTTATTTTTGTCCCCGGGGATCAAACTTGGGGGACCTTGCACTTGCGAGGCAGGTGGTGGAACCACTGAGCTAAATCCTTGGCCCTATTTATTTATTTTTATGTAGTGACAAAATTTATTTGAAAAAGTAAGTGAAGACTGAGGGAGAAACTGGCTCTGCAGAGGGAACTTGGGCTGAGTGAGAGAAAAAGCAAAATAAAAGTAAACCCTGGTGGACAGAGTGGGCCATCGTGGGGATAGCCACATAGTTCAGGCTGGCCTTGAACTCACTATGTAGCCCAGGCTGGCCTCATACTCACAGCAACCCTCCTGCCTCAGCCTCACGACTGCTAGGATTACAGGCATGGGCCACCACACCCGGCCCTCCATTGGTCTTTTCTACCTCCTATCCCTCCTGCCTTACCCCCCACATAACTTCCTTTTGCCAGCTCCTCCATTCCTCCCTGACATGCAGGAGAAAAAAATACATAAAGAGCAGAGATGAAGGAAGAGAAGAAAATAGAGGTGGGCAAAATGAAGGAAACAGTGGGACTGGGAGAACGCACGCATGCTTCTGTGGCCAGCAGGGTTTCCACAGATGCTCAGGGCCAAGGTATCATTGCTGCCACTTTGCAGATAAGGACATGAGGCCCAGAGAGGCCTGTGCAAAACCCTACAGCTGGCAAGTGATAAAGACTCAAGTAGCTGGGGATTTAGCTCAGTGGTTCTGCCGCCTGCCTCCCAAGGGCAAGGTCCTGAGTTCGATCCCTGGTACAAAAAAAAAAGGCTTGAAAGTGAGCTTGCAGGGGAGGGGAGGAGGGGACAGAAACTAAAGATGTGTCAGTGTCACCCACCACACCACGACAGGGCCACTAAGTACCGCCAACACGGACTAATCCGAATAAAAACGAGCAGTAAAGAAACCATGATTTCACGGCGCCAAGAGAGGACGGAAGGCAGGTGCAGCGTGGAAGGGGCCTCGAGGGAAGGAGACGAGGCCGAGGGGCTGACTGGAGGGAGGAAGACGGGAGAGAGCACAGAGGCAGCGCGCTGCAGCGAGGCCTCACCGCCGATCCAGGGTGCGGTAACACTGGCGGATCCAGCTCAGAGGCGGCACCTGGGCCCTGCTCGTGCCTCCACTCAAGTGAACGAGCAGATAATTTTCAGCCACCAGCAGCTCCAGAGTCCCCACCAGGTACCTGGGGTGGGGGATGACATCTCAGGGAAGGTGTGTGGGTCTCGGGTAGAAGTCTGTGCAGCCAATCATCAGCTGCTTTTTCTTTCTTTTGCGGTACCGGGTTGGGGGATCGAATGCAGAACCGTGGGCGCCACTGAGCTGCATCTCCATCCCCCGCCCCTAGCTACTACTTTTCCCTCCCGAATGCCCTCCCCGCAGCTTTTCCAGCTTCCCACCTCACCTAAACAAGTGTTCCATGACGTAAGTGTAGTCGGGAATGCTGCTGCGGGGTAAATAACAGGAGGCAAACAGGACGACAGCATTGAGGCCATCCCCATGGTAACCTGGGGACAATAAGGGAAAGCCTCACTCAGGCCGGAAATACGTACCTGCGGCCAGCACATCGGACGGGCTGAGGGACACGCAGGGTCTCGGGGTGACAGGCAGAGAGCACAACCCGCCCCCGAGCCCCCAGCTCAGGCACGCCGTTCAGCCTAGCGAGGGCGTTTCAGCCCTCCTCCCGGCCGTTACCTCCGTGAGACAGGACTTTCTTATAGGGCTCGAGGACGGTCATGTCCACGCGTTGCTCCCGCTGTCCCGTCCGGAACACCCTCCAGCGATGACCGTTTTCTCCAGCCACATCCCACACACAGCCCCGGCCCAGCCTGGCCGCCGCCTCGCTGGCCCCCAGGCCTTCCGCCCGGGGCAGGTCATCTAAAGCAGAGTCGGGGTCAACGGGGGGCTCCCGGCCTTCAGCACCTTCTGCCTCCTCCAGACCCTGTTCCCAGCTGCCCCGCCGACCTCTCATTACTCGGTTGTTTCCTTGCCTCTTTAGCCAGTTTCTGCAGTTAACCCAACCCTTTCCGCTGTAACTGGATGGTGACCTCGAGGTGGGGACCGTGCACAATGACAGTCTCTGGCTCTTACCAGATGCACACTCTCTC